AAGTAGTTAGGCCATTTTTTTATGGCTAAAGACACTCTCGCCAATCCAGTGAATACATTAAAATGACTTAGATCAAGATAGGTACTCTCGTTTTCCTGGAGAAGATAGCGTAAAATGCTATCTTGAGTGTTAAAGACAGACAGAAAGACAGACAGACAGATATAGAGGTAAGACTCGTTTCTGCTTCTTTAATGTATAATACGCAAAAATAACCTAAAAATATATAATTCTGAGCAATGTACAGAAAAAACTCTAATTTTATTTAGATAGATAGATAGGCCTAGAGATACAGATAGATATACAGGGTTAGTAAAAAGGATGGAGACCCTCTGTTTTTTATTTTAATGGCGCATACTAGAAAAACTAAACTCAGCACACCTTTATGACATGTTATGAAGTACTTTTTGGGCATAACCGTCACTTGGTGTGGCCACATACAGATTGGCCAATGGTTTAAGGGTCGTTTCTAACATACAGATTGACCAAACGTCCTAATGAGCAGGGGCAAAAAATGGGGGCGGAGCTTACAGCATTGATGTCCCGTGGAGGAGGAGCTTTTCTATTCAAGTCAAGTGTTTGATAACTTTTTCTAATCTTACCAGTCACAGAGGTGGCCAAGCTCAAGAGACGAATTTTACTTTTTAAAACACTAAGTTTTATGTAAACTGTTAGGTAAACAAATAAGGTTTTTACATTCAACTGTAGCTTAAACAAAACAGTGCATTCTAATACAAATAATAGGCTATAAAATCTAACTAATTGCTTATTAACTCACTATCAATTTCTTTTCAAGTACACAAAGTAAATTTTTTTTGGAGGTCGAGTTGGTTACGAAATTGTTAGTTTGTTTGACCTAGTTATAGCAATAAGGATAATGTTACCATTTAAAAGTCCTGAAGTGTTCTTTCAAGATTCAAAGCATTAGCATTCTCGTTTGTATGTGTGTACCCATTGTTTGAAAATTACCTTGAATATCTGTCTTAGTATTTTGCACACGATGTTCATTTTTAAGTTTACAAAACCAATCTAGCAATATTCATTATAGGAGTAGTATTTTAACAAAAGTTAAAAAAAGAAAAAGAAATTCCATTGGAAGTGAAATAACCTGAATAAAATGTTCTACCACAGAGTATAAAAATCTACTCACTTATTCAACATTTACGTAAACCAAAAATTAAAATTCTAAACTTCAAATAAATCTTAACATTTTGCCTTAAAATCCTGAAATAAATAATAATTCGTTATTAATATTCAGTCAGCTACATTTTCAGGTGCCGCTAAAAGAAAATAATAACTCCAAATTGGAGGTATTATTCCGTTTGGATGATATTCCGTGAAAGCATATAACCTCGTCATATTAGCTTTTAAAATTGCATAGTTTGTGCTGAATTCTGTTGTCAATCGTCTGAACTTGTTCAAGTTTACAATGAAATTTTGCTTACATCAAAACATATGTCCATAGTACAATTTTGCTTACATCCATACGAAAATTGGGTTATCTGTAAGTCGGTGATGTTTAAGTTAATTCAAGAAAATGTTGTATTATCTATACTACAGTATTATATAAAAATCTAATGGTGTCTGTCTGTATGTGTGTTAGTAATAGGTGCAAAAACTACTGAACCAACTGGGCTTAAATTTTACAAAATTATAGTTACCACAACAAGGACCATTATTGGACTATTCACATTTAAAAACTGACCGTAGGCTTTTGCCCCTTTGGCTTTAAAAAGTTCTGAGGTGAACATTTTAAAAGTAAATATTGATTGGTCTCCATAGCTGCAATGAGAACACTAACAATGTTTGTTTACATTTGCTTTGACATTTAAATGTAAACAAGAACTGCTAAACTGCATATTTCACAATTTCAGAGAGCTGATACAAAGAACTTAAATATAATAGTTTCCATAACTATGAGGTGGGTTTATTTTAATCTAACCTTTTATAATGGATTATTTATTCTAAAACTATGTCAATGATTATAGAAAAAAAGATTCTATAACAGTTGCTGTATTAACTCCGGCTCTGCTTTGGATTTATTAAAGCGTCTAAGTTATGAAAATAATGTTATTGATATGTTTTCATGGAAACAGTATGAAAATTACAATGTATAGATGTTTTGTGTGATTTTGGAGGCTACTTTAAATAAATTCAAACTGCTTAACTTGTGTTAGATTAACTTAACATAACTTGCACATCACATTGTTTTTTATATGTATATTTAGGTAAATTAAGTTATTGTGTTTTGCTAAACCTATGCTTATATTAAACTAAAGAATATCATCAATAACTAAATTGTCGTTGATTTTTGTTTTCTAAAATCTGTTGTACATGTGTAACTATATTTAATTATCAAATGGCAATACAAAATACTCTTTTTTTATCTTAACATAGCTTTCAGTTCACATTTACTTTATTTGATACATTTATTATTTGTGTTTTGCCACACCACTGATTAAATTAAACCAAGGAAAATATCATAAAACTAAGCATTACAGAGTGTTCTGTTGTTTCTAAAATCAATGAAATATCTGTTACTATGTTTACTTAATGGTAAGTGTGAAAATGTAAAGGCAATGGACGATGGAACTGATTAAAAGAACTGGTTTGTACTGTATATTAAGTTGTTTGTTGATATTTTTTATAGAGTAGAATCAGAGATGCAATGAAATATATACTGTATTTGCTATTATATTTTTTAGTCCTTGAGGCTTTGATATTAGTTTTGTCTGCTGTCTTTAATGCTGAATTATTTGTTTGCAATTTTTTATAGTACCTATAGATATAGTTTCTTTAATATTTCAAAAGATTGTATTGATAAGGCACAGCAATATTTCTAAAGTTTATAACAGCTGACTTAGCCTAGTTTTGCTAATGATTTATTGTGAGTGAAGAAACTGAAGATGGAAGGATTTGTGATTTAATATAAAAAAGAGTGAAATTTAAAAAAAAGTGTTAATTTAAATTTAATAATTAGTATTTTTGCAACTTCAAAATTGATATTTAAAATGTCAATAGTAAATGAAAAGATATTTAAAAGGGAGATGAAGTATCATCATGTATGTCAAAGTTGTATTCGAAGATTTTGTCAGGTTTTCTCATATCAGCCTACACAAGATTTAAAATTAATCAAAACCAAAATGGTGCTATCCACTACTTACCAGATTTAAAAGTTATAACTTTAACTTTTCTATTATGGCCATAAAAGTTGAATTTTGTTTCTAAAAGCGTTTGCGGATGTGTAACTATTATATGCAACAGATGTAAAGATTAAAATGTTTCTATTTTGTGTCCTCTTCCCAATGCAAAGCACGGGTACAACAGCTAGTTTAGTATAAAATGTAAAGAAGAAAATGGTTTATAGTATGTCTCATTAGTATTATTAATCTCTCTGAAGTTTCCTTGAAGAGATCGCGCACGCAATGAAAATAATGGAAATATGATGAGTCATCATATTTTTACCCTTAAAAACTACAATATATCGTAGTACTAATATTGTGAAATTTTGTGAGTTTGTTCGTTTGTTTGATATCCAATCACGCATTAACTACTGGTCGGATCGGGTTGAAATTTGGTATGAAGATAGCTCACATTACCGATTAACATATCTAGACATATTCTTATCCCAAAAATCATTTCGGGCTCTGCCCCAATGGTTCCATAGTTTCCAATGTTAACCTTATGAGTATTTATATTTAAAATGAATTAAAAAATGTTGTCAGCTGTTTCAACTACACAAGTTGGTTCTACGATATTCAATAGCATTAAAGAGACCACCTCTGTATCTGGTAAGATTAGAAAACGTTAACAAACAGTTTACTTGAATAGATTAGCTCCTCCCCCACACACATCACTGCTGTAAGCTCCTCCCCCATTTTTTGCCCCTGCTCATTAGGACCTTTGGTCAATCTGTATATTAGAAAAGACCCTCGAACCATTGGCCAATCTGTACGCGCGCCTTGGTGTACATCCCCAAAATGGGGGATTTTGGAGGAAACTCCAAAAATTCAAACACAAAGACCCATCGAGTGACCCCTCCTTTTGAAGGACCAGGTAAAAGAAAACCAACAACGCAAACTAAAGGTCTTTATCTCAATCCAGTAAAAAATGGCTGCCAATTGAAATTCTCAGAAGTTGAATTTAACTTGCAGCTTTCCAAGTCTGGAAACTCCCTGTAAATTTTGTAGCGGCTCACACTAGGAAAACTAAACTCGGCACACCTATTTGGCATGTTATGAAGTACTTTTTTACGCCTAATATCCACTTGCCTACCAAACCCAAAATGGGATATTTTGGGGGAAACTCAAAAGTTTTAAATCATAAGCCCCATCGAGTGACCTCTCATTTTGAAGGTCCTGGTAAAAGAAAACTAACAACGCAAACTAGAGATTTCTATCTCAATCCAGTAAAACATAGAAGCTGATTGAAATATTTAGAAATCGGAAGTAACTTGCAATCTTAAATTCAATTGGCTGCCATATTTTACTATGTTAAGATAGAGACCTATAGTTTGCGTTGTTAGTTTTCTTTTATTATGACCTTCAAAATGAGGGGTCACTCAATGGGGCTTATTATTCAAAATTTTTGAGTTTCCCCCAAAATCCCCCATTTTGGGGATGAACGCCAAGTGGTGGTTATGCCCAAAGAGTATTTCATGACATGCAATAATGGTGTGCCGAGTTTAGTTTTTCTAGTATGGGCCGTTAAAAAAATAACAGGGGGTCTCCACACTTTTTACTAACCCTGTATAGATAGATGGATGACCCACTTTCTAGTCTTGCCCTAAAATATACCCTTGCTTGAGTATATGTAAGTTATGTTTATTTACTCGTTGTAGATAGCACGAGTGTGTATAACATTCCTATTGTTATCAAACATCGTTACAAATCCCTATAAATTACCAAAATTATCGTTATGTTATATAATCGATGTAAAGGTCCGTTTGGGGTCAAAAGAATAACTCATATTATAATAATAGTGTATTTATTTACCCTGTGTATTAAATAGTTAACAACAAGATTTGCATCAAATGACAATGAAATAAATGATTTTATTTGAGAAATAATATATTGCGAGTAAATTATATTATTCTACACCTTACTCATAAAAACATGTTTTAAAATATATGCAATTTTACTTTATTAGTAAGTGATTGTTAACTAAACTTATGTCTGCAGGTCAAAAGTAGGTAATGCTTAGCCCAAGTCTCATGAAATCAAATCAAGATTCCATTTTTGTTTAGAAATGAGCCTGCATAATAGTTGACGTCACCAGTAAACTCTTTGCAAACCCCTGTGTGACTATCCATGGCAATACAAATGTATACAAGTTACATAATCTTTTTTCCTGCATAATACGGATGTTGTACGGTATTTAGTAAGCCACCTCAGCTTTAACATGAAGATGTTCAGTACATATCTGACCAGCTCATCACCACCGTTACCAATGGGTTTTTATTGGTTGAGTATAGAGTAAATATTTGCACAAAAATGGTTTTATAATTATACTATTCTTCACTTTTTGGTTCAAATAATGAACTGTTGTAGATACTACTATGATTTTATACTAATGAAGATTTTGAAGGTGTAGTGACCCTAAAATAAGACATTTTGTCAAAAAAAAAGGGAAAAATGATTACATTTCTTTTGAAATGTTTTTTTCAACTATCAATGCTATTTACAAAACTTTTGTTTACATGTCTGAACAAGCTTGATTGAGTTTTAACAAAATCATCACCTTTTATATAAATCTAACCGTGTTATTTACTCGTTGAATATGTAACCTAAGAATACAAAGAATATATACATATCGTAACAGAACATATCTAACTAAGTAAACTTACTTCACAGTTTTCTGTGCATAAATAACAAATAAATTAACTATACAAACTAGTATTACTCTCTAAAACGATAGTAATTGTATTTCTTCAGTTTTGATTTATATTTTCAATGTAAAGAAATAAAATTTGATGTACAGACGGCGAATTAAAAAAATATTTTACTTATATTCTAGACAACTATAGTGTTAAAGTATTCCAAGGTACAAAAACACTTAATTATACAAAATTGTAACAATCTTTAATCTAACAAGTCATAATCGTCCATCCAGTTAATATATTCTACACTTACATAACGTACACATCAATTACCACACTAACAAATGTTTAGGCCCCGTTTACAGAAATATTTTTACTACTAACTGGAAATATATGATATTTTACAACCTATCCTGTTCACTCCGTCTGAATAATTACAGCAATAAGACAAATATTTAGCCTACATACGTTTCCATTGACGATACTTTTCTTTAAAGACATAGATCGAATAACAAAAAATATTAGATTTTTTAAAATTACCTGATCTTGTAAACATAATGACAACTAAATACAATTTCTAAATTGGCAGTGGTTGAGAACATTCTTTGGGGTATATGGATGTTAACATATTGACTTATTAATATTAAACATATTCTATGTGAAAAGGTACTGTTAAGGTTACAAAAATAAAGGATTCTCGTTAATATCATTAATCGGATTTAAATTATTCTATAATTGAGATACCTTACAACACAGTTATTATAATGTTTGTGACGACACACGACTTCTATAAACTAGTTTGTTGTATCATCCCTCCTGCCTCCGAGGCATCCACAGGCTCGTCTGGTCTGGGGATTTCCGCCTTTATCTCCTGTGGAAGACCTCCCAGCAAGTAGTCCAGGTCGTGGCATATCCTATCCATGACGTCACCGTCGTCGTCGTCTGGCTCCGGGGGCGTCGGAGGTTCTTGTACTGCAGTGTGGACGATAGACTGACTCAGCACGGTACACGGCTCTACATCCACGCTACAGACTACCACACTGGGAGTGTCCACGACTACACTGGTGATGACACAGACTCCTCCGGGGAACTTGCGGGGACTGGCCGGGTACAGCTCCATGTTGACTGGCTCCACCACCCCTCGGTCACAACCTACAACACAACAACCAGCCTATGATGCGGTTCTCAGTATCTAGAATAAGCGACTGGTTCAATAGGTAGGGCCTACTCAGTTTAAAATATAAACTACACAGCAAGCGCTGGTATCAACTGTTGACATGAAAGGCAATTAGTTACAAAGGCAAACCGGTGGTTGGAACGGCGATTCGACAAAGCGACAAAGTGAAACGCTTTGTTGAAACCCCATCATTATGAATGTGAATTCATAATTGAACTATGTAGTCATTAGCATCCGACGATTTTTCGAAATTAACGATCAATAACATGCTGCGTAAGGTACGATTGTAATGCAAGCGGCTTATAACTAAAACTGACAAGCTTGAATTAGTTTCACAAAGGTTTAATGATTAAATATTCTGTTCACAATTAATTAAATACAATAAAGTCATATTCTAATATTTACATACACCTACATGCAATAAAAAACCATAAAATAACTAGTTGTACAATGCAGTTTTCTGCTTAAAACATTGAGGGAAGCAAGCAAATTAATCCAATACTTTTAAAAAGACAATACTAAATATGTTTAACGTAAATGAAAGGTCTGCTTGCAGTATTCAAAGTCAATGGTATATTTGGTTCAAGTCAACGGAATGTATAATTGCTTTATCAAAATCAATGTTAAATCTTGTTTACATAAATAAAATGTCTACTTGCAGTATCCAAAGTCAATGGTATATATGGTTCACTCAAATAGGATGGCTATTCGCAGAATCCAAAGTCGTGTACATCTGGTCCACGTAAATGTAATGTCTACTTGCTACCCAATGTCAATGGTACATCCGGTTCACGTCTACTTTTAGTATCTCAAGTCAATGCAATGACTACTTGGAGTCCCCAAAGTAAATTATGCGTCTGGTTCGCATTAATGGAATGTCCAGCATGTACATCATCTAAAATCTATGGTATATTTGTTTCACATGGACTGAATGCTCATTTGCAGTATCTTGTCAACTATGCATAAGCCTACTTGGTTATTCATTTTGTTATCTATTTTAGATCATGTACATACTGGACATTCCATTTATGCGAACCAGACGCACAATTGACTTTGGAGACTCCAAGTATAGTCATTGCATTGACGTGAACTAGATACAGCATTGACTTGAGATACTAAAAGTAGACGTGAACTAGATGTACCATTGACATTGGGTAATGCAAGTAGACATTACATTTACGTGAACCAGATGTACACGACTTTGGATTCTGCGAATAGCCATCCTATTTGAGTGAACCATATATACCATTGACTTTGGATACTGCAAGTAGACATTTTATTTATGTAAACAAGATTTAACATTGATTTTGATAAATCAAATATACAATACTGTTGCGGGCTTAACGGGTTCTTTACAATAAAAACTTGGCGATTTTATATTAACTATTTATTTACACTATTTACTCTTTATTTACAAATATTAGAATTACCTAACACCTAACTAACCCTATCTAAACCTAGCCAAAGCCTAATCTAATTTACAATGGTTCTACTTACAGCTAGCCTCTACAGGATTTATCACTACTTCTGTTACAACACTGTCACTACACTGTCACTAGTGTCACTACACTGTCTCTACACCGTCACTACACTGTCACTGCCACTAGCACTAGCACTGGTCACTAACACCGACGGGCGCTTGCTGCGACGATTCTCGGAAGGCTCAACTCAACTCAACTGCCGTGTGCCGGAAGACGGTCCCTTATATAAGTTTGCCGTGGAACATTCTGGAGACCCCTGGTAGCCTAGACAAAGGTGTTTACGCCGTAGAAGTGTAGAAGGTTCTAGGGCCCCTATTGAGGTAGTCCGATGACATGGGTCTATTGTCTATCAGTGGTGTGTTCGGAGAAACCCGTGTAAACAAACAACCCTTTTGAGACGGCGCCTGGCTATTGTTGCGCGGGGCTCCTGACTTGTAACACTACCCCCTCCTTAAGACTGTTCTGTCCCAGAACAGATTTCTCTCGAAGGTTGAGATCTTCTGGACAAATGTTTCCGGTCCCCCACGGGTTGAATACGCAGACCACAATGTCGATGCCAGTGTCCTCGAAAAGTTCCTGCACCATATTTCTTACAGTCTTCCATTCCAGTCCGTCGTAACCACATCCCAGCCTTGGAATAGCAAGCTTTTTGATTCCAAACTGAAGAAGTTTGTCTCGCAGGTCTTGCAGGCTTTTCTTCAACGATTCGTAGGAGGGCTTCTGGCTTGACGCTTCCTTCGTAACGAGGTAGAACAAATGCTGTCCATTGCGCTTCAGGTGAAGGGTGGTGCCAATGGCGGGTCTCTGACGCTCAAGATCTTCAGTCCCTCCAAACTTTTTCCTGAAGACTGTGGCTATACCTCGCGACGCTCTCAGGTCTTCTGCTACGCAGTGGGCCAAGGCATAATCCACTGGCAAGGTGAAGAGGTCCTTATATAACAGTTTCAATTCCGCCTTTCCACGTTCCTCGGGCACGACGTCTCTTGGTTCGGTTGAGATGTTGCGAGCTTGTTGTTCATCTTGTTGGCCGTGATCTCCTTTGTAGGGTGCAAGCCTGTTGAAATGGACTATTTTGGGTTTGCCATTTGGTTGCTTCTTAATCCGGTAGATGACGTCATTTAGACGGGAAATAACTTCATAAGGTCCTTCCCACGAGTTCTGGAGTTTTGGCGAATATCCACGACGCCTTCGGGGGTTGTGTAGCCACACAAGGTCTCCAGGTGTGAACCCTCCTTTCTCGGCTTTCACGTCGTACCTCTCCTTCATCCTGTCGCTTGCTCCAGATATGTTGCGGCGGACTTTCTCGTGTATCTCGTCCATCCTCTTCCGCAGATTGGATACGTAATCCTCGCCAACCACACATTCGTCTGGCTTCAAACCATACTGCAGGTCGCATGGAAGACGGAGCTCTCGGCCGAAAACTACGTTGGCTGGAGTCTGGCCGGTGGTTTCGTTGACCGAACTCCTATATGCAAGTAGGAACAGGTGCAGGTATTGGTCCCAGTCCCGCTGATGATCGGAGACAACTTTTGACAGGTATCTCCCCATCGTCCTGTTCATGCGCTCTACCATGCCATCTGACTGTGGATGAAGAGGTGTTGTTCGAGTCTTCCGGATACCAAGAACTTCACACATTCTAGAGAATACCGCTGACTCAAAATTTCTTCCTTGGTCAGAATGAAGTTCGAGCGGGACGCCAAATCTGCTCACCATTTCCTTGATTAATATATCTGCAACTGTTACCGCTTCCTGGTTAGGCAATGCATAGGCCTCTACCCATTTGCTGAAGTAATCCATTGCAACCAAAATAAATCTATTTCCAGAATCGGACATGGGGAACGGTCCTGCTACGTCAATGGCGATGCGCTCAAACGGGGCACCTACGTTGTATTTCCTCATAGGGGCTTTTCGTTTGTTGACAGGGCCATTTGATGCTGCGCAGGTCGCACACCTTCTGCACCAGTCTATGACGTCGTCTTTCTGATTAGCCCAGTAGAAGCGCTCCCTTACTTTCACCAGTGTACGATGCACCCCTAGATGGCCTCCAGAAATTCCATCGTGCACTTCCCTTAGCACTTCAGGAACCCTCTTCCTTGGGATTAATAGTTGGAGTTTTCGGTGCCCTCCTTCCTCCGATTCGACGACTCGCTTCAAAACTCCTTCTTCCATTAAAGTCGAGTTCCACTGCGCTCAGTAGGTCTTGACGTTCTTAGACAATGGAGCAATATCCTGCCACGACGGTCTTCCTTTATCGTTTATCTTCCACTGCATGACGTGTCTTAGGTCTGTGTCTTCCTTCTGGTCCTCTGACAGTTTCTTGCTGTCCCAGTCGTCGTCAACGGCGGTCACACGATGAACTGATGCACTTTTGTCTTCCTTGCGTGTGCAGTGCATGCAGTTGTCCCCGCACGGTCTTCTAGATAGTGCATCTGCGTTCCTGTGGCTCAGTCCCGCACGATGGATTGATTCGAAGTCATATTCTTGTAACCTTTCTAACCATCTTGCAACCTGTCCTTCTGGAGACTTAAATCTTAGCAACCACATCAGTGCGGCATGGTCCGTTCTCAAGAGAAACCTTCTTCCGTACAGATATTTATGAAAATGTTCTATGGACTTAACCACTGCGAGAAGCTCCCTCCTGGTGACACAGTAATTACGCTCAGGTGCTGACAGGACCTTACTGAAGTATCCGATCACATGTTCTTCTCCATCCTGGAGCTGAGAAAGAACTCCTCCAATGGCCGTATTGCTGGCGTCCGTGTCTAATATGAACTTTCCGTCGGATCGTGGGTAGCTCAATATGGGTGCGCTGCATAATTTAGTCTTCAGCTCTTCGAAAGCTTCCTTGCAGTCGTTATCCCAAACAAAGGTCCTCTTGTCTTCGGTCAACTTGGTTAGTGGTTTTGCAATATTAGCAAATCCCTTAACAAATTTCCTGTAGTAAGCACACAGCCCGAGGAAGCTTCTAACCTGGTGCTTATCCTGAGGTACTGGCCAACCGGTGATAGCTCTGATCTTCTCCGGATCCACAGACACTCCTTTGTCCGATACAACATGGCCGAGGTAATTGACCTGTTTGCGGAACAAGTTGCACTTCTTGGGGTTCAACTTCAGATTAGCCATCCGCAGTCGCATGAAGACATTCTCTAGGTTCTTCAGGTGGTCTTCGAAGGATTTGCCTAAGACGATAATGTCGTCCAAGTAAACCAAGCATGTCTCCCATGACAATCCCCTGAGGACGTTCTCCATGAGCCTTTCAAAAGTAGCAGGGGCGTTGCAAAGTCCAAAAGGCAGCACAGTGAATTGCCAAAGTCCTGTCCCAATAGAGAACGCCGTCTTCTCCTTGTCCTCAGGAGCGAGCCCGACCTGCCAGTAGCCACTTCTCAGATCCAAAGTTGAGAATATTTGACATCCTCCCAGAGTGTCGAGTGTGTCATCAATCCTGGGTAGAGGGTAGCTGTCTTTCTTGGTGACATTGTTGAGAAGGCGGTAGT